AAAACTATTTTATAAAATGCAAAACTGTTTTTAGATAAGTTGAAATGGCTGCCCCATTCTCCTCACAATAACTACTGTCCTTGGCCTCTGTAAATAGAACTGCTAGTTTGTTCTTCAAAACTATGTAAAGCTGCTTACCTTTTCTTATCAGTAACTGCTAAAATCTGTGATGTGTAAACAAATGTATATCTTGACTTCTGCAAACCACTGAGGTAACAAACAGAATGACAAAAGTCCTCTAGCCCTTGAAATGTCCGAAACCTTATCATCCCCATCCCCGCCCCTCACCCCCACTCCCAAGGTGGTTTTTCGGGTATAAAAAATCATGGCACCCTCCTTTTGGCACCACAGGTTGGAGGTGTGAGTCCTCTGTGGTCGCCGGCATAATAAATGACCCTGCAATCTGGCATACTTTTGTCTTGGTGATAACTTTCTACGCTCCGGTCAAATACAACATATATACACATACACACACACACACACACACACACAGAGACATATGGCTGGGGCTGGGTGTGGTAGGTCACACCTATAATCCCAGCACCAACACTTTGGGAGGCCGAGGCAGGTGAATCACCTCAAGTCAGGAGTTCCAGATCAGCCTGGCCAACATGGTGAAACCCCATCTCCACTTAAAATACAAAAATTAGCTGGGTGTGGTGGCAGGAACCTGTAATCCCACCTACGCAGGAGAATCACCTGAACCCCACGAGGCAGAGGTTACAGTAAGCTGAGACCGCGCCACTGCACTCCAGCCGGGCGACAAAGCAAGACTCCATCTCAAAAAATAAACAAAAAAATTGCCATAGCTCCCCACTACACACACTCCTACAAATATATAGTATATGATTTCAGACTTTTCCAACAGGGACCAAAATACACCATCATCTTAATTGAAATAATCATCTTGAGTTAAGCTTAAATTTTTAAGAGTACAGAGTTTGCACTTGATTTATTAAGCGATGGAGAGCTGCTCAAAGTCTTTGGGGAAGTCTCACTAACTTCAGCTAGGTTAATCTGGCAGCCACAGGCAGGATACAGATCTCAGACTTCATTAAAATCTTCGGTTGCTGTTTCTGCACGCCCCCTTCTGGCTGAGTAAGTGCTCATCGCTAAACGATGCCATTTTATTTTATTTTATATAAATATTTTATATAAATATAAAAAAAGTGTAATTCTAACTTTTTTTCTTTTTGAGATGAAGTCTCGCTCTGTCATCCATGCTAGAGTGCAGTGGCATGATCTCGGCTCACTGCAGCCTCTGCCTCCTGGATTCAAGCAGTTCTCCTGTCTCAGCCTCTGAAGTAGCTGGGGTTATAGGTCCACACCACATGCCCCGCTAACTTTTGTATTTTTAGTAAAGACAGGGTTTCACCATGTTGGCCAAGCCAGTCTTGAGCTTCTAACCTCAGGTAATCCACCCGCCTTGGCCTCCCAAAGTGCTGGGATTGCAGGCCTGAGCCACTGGCCCGCTACTAAATGAACCATTTTATTAACTGCAGCTGCTGACAAAGGCGGACATTGAAGAAATTGCCATTGCCATGGGAAGGAAGCGTTTATTGTGAAAATAAAGTATCTTTCTCTAGTGATAAAAAAAAAAAAAGAAGAAAGATAAAACGTGAACTTTCATTAGATTGTCAACATTTGGTGGTGGATAAACCAATAGCCCATTCCAACTCCCCTGAAATTTTCCCATGGGTTAATTGACAGAGGAATAGTATATTTTGATTGGATATTTCTTTATAGTCACTTAAAAATCCCCTGTGAAGGTGTTTCCTCCCTTCGAAATCAGAGAAAAGACACATTTGGTGACGACAATCAAAAGATGGACAGGAGACACCTGGTGTTTGGAAGCCTTTACCAAATTATTTGCCTTTCTTTGTTAACTCAGGGAAGAAGGCAGCCACAGCCTCTACATTTTCTCCCTGACTTGGTTTACAAGGTTAATCAAATACCCTGTACCACAGAGTGACTGGGTTAATGATTTATCTAAATGGGGCAAAAGCCATATGCTATTGCAACGTTGCATTTCAGCCTATTTGTCCAAACTAGTTAGCTATTGCATACTAATGATGTAGCTTAATGCTGTGTCACTTGGCTGTTCTAGAACATTTGTGTACATTATGTTCACAGTGCTGCAAGGAGCAACAGAGAACTTCCCTTTTTAATAGTTACAGTCTTTCTGAAAGCCCTGGAAGAAAAAAGAAAAAAGTGACCCAAAGAAACAAGATAGCATTCAGGTAATGTTTAAATCAGATTGGATCTCAGATCAAAGGGCACGTTTAAAGTAAATGTTGAAATTTCATAGATTCAGAAAGTGTTCAGCTTGATGAATTAATGTACAGATCATTACTGTTCAGACTGATGAATTTCCTCAAAGCTCACACTCTTCCGTATTGCCCACAAATCTTAAACAGAACATTATCACAACCCTAGGAACCTTCTTGTGACCGTTCCAGTAACAAAATCCCCTAAGATTAATTATATCCTCTCTTCTGACATCATAAATTAGTTTGTTTATTTTTTGAACTTTATACAAATGGAATAATATGGTTTTTTGTTTGTTTTTGTTTTGGTTTGATTTTTTTGATACAGAGTCTCACTCTGTTGCCCAGGCTGGAGTGCAGTGGCACAATCTCTGCTCACTGCAACCTCCACCTCTCAGGTTCAAGCGATTCTTTTGCCTCAGCCTCCTGAGGTGCTGGGATTACAGGTGTGAGCCACTGCTCTGGGCTGGACTAATATGTTTTGATATCTGGATTCTCAACTTTAAGTTTGTGAAGTTCACCCATGTGGTTTTATGCAGCTGTAGTTTATTCATTCTCATTGATAAATAACATTCCATCATGCGTATATACCACAATTTATTCATTCTACCACTGATGGACATTTGGGCAGCTTCCAGCTTTGGTTATTATGGAAACTGCTGCTCTTAATAGTCCTAAACGTGTCTTTTAGGCCAGGTGCAGTGTCTCACGCCTGTAATCCCAGCACTTTGGGAGGCCAGAGCGGGCGGATCACCTGAGGTCAGGAGTTCAAGACCAGCCTGGCTAACATGGTGAAACCAGTTTCTACTAAAAATACATACATTGATTGCATGTCTAAAGGCCGAGCCGCCCCGTAGCTAGGATGCCGCGTGGAAGCCGAAGCCACAGCCGCACCTCCCACATGGCCACTCCGGCCAGCCGGGCCCCTCAGATGAGAGCTGTGCCCAGGTCAGCACCAGCCACTCAGCCAGCAGTGGCACTTCCCTCTGCAGTTGGTTCTCCTGCTGCTGCGCCCCGGCAGCCAGGTCTGCTGGCCCAGATGGCAAAGACTGCAGCTGGCGTGGCTGTGGGCTCTGCTGTGGGGCACACACTGGGCCACGCCATTGCTGGGGGCTTCAGTGGAGGAAGTGATCCTGAGTTCCAGAGGCCTGACATTACTTACCAGGATCCTCAGGGAACCCAGCTGGCACAGCAGCAGCAGCCTTGCTTCTATGAGATCAAACAGTTTTTGGAGTGTGCCCAGAACCAGGGTGACATCAAGTTCTGTGAGGGTTTCAGTGAGGTGCTGAAACAGTGCCAACTTGCAAACTGATTGGCCTAACCAAGAAGTTCAACCTGGAGAAATGGAAAACCAGCTGTCATAACCAAGTTAATTTAATATAAAAATTTAATTAGGCCGGGCGCGGTGGCTCAAGCCTATAATCCCAGCACTGTGGGAGGCCGAGGCGGGTGGATCACGAGGTCAAGAGATCGAGACCATCCTGGTCAATATGGTGAAACCCCATCTCTACTAAAAATACAAAAAATTAGCTGGGCATGGTGGTGCGTGCCTGTAATCCCAGCTACTCAGGAGGCTGAGGCAGGAGAATTGCCTGAACCCAGGAGGCGGAGGTTGCGGTGAGCCGAGATTGCTCCATTGCACTCCAGCCTGGGTAACATGAGTGAAACTCCGTCTCAAAAAAAAATTTAATTAATAGTGAAGTTATAAAGTGTAGCCATCAGTTAAAGCTCTCCTGTCATTCCTAGCCTCCTTGCTTCAGGATTGAAATGGAAGGGGTGCTCCTACTCTGTAGAATTTGGAGCTGGTCAAATGTTTGTGTGGCCTCCTTAAACTAGCTGTTAATGATTTTATTCTTTGTGAGTTAATTAGAATAAAGCGATTTTCTTCCAAGAAATAAAAAATACAAAAGATTAGCCAGGTGTGGTGTTGCACACCTGTAATCCCAGCTACTTGATAGGCTGAGGCAGGAGGGTTGCTTGAACCTGGGGGGCGGAGGTTGCAGTGAGCCAAGATCATGCCACTGCACTCCAGCTTGGGCAACAAGAGTGAAATTCCATCTCAAAAAAAAATGTGTCTTTTGATGACCATATATACTCGTTTCTATTGGGTATGTACACCTGTGTAATATAAATAAAATTACATATACATATACACATGTGTATGCATGTGTGTATATATACATATTTAGTGTTACTAGACATGACCAACCATATATTTGAGCATTCTTTTTCTAAAATTTTTTTATTATTATTTAGAGACAGGTCTCACTCTGTTACCCAGGCTGGAGGGCAGTGGCATGATCATAGTTCACTGCAGACTTGATCTCCTGGGCTCAAGCAATCTTCCTGCCTCAGCCTCACAAGTAGCTGAGACTACAGACATGCACCACCACACCTGACTTCTTTTTATTTTTTATTTTTCTCACTGTGTTACCCAGGCTGGTCTGGAACTCCTGGCCTCAAAACAATCCTCTCATCTCAGCCTCCCAAAGTGCTGGGATTACAACTGTGAACCACCACGCCTGGCTCATATGAGCATTCTTGTTGCTGTATATCTTTGCCAATACTTAGTACAGTCAGCTCTCTATATCCATGGGTTTCACATACGTGAATTCAACCAACTGAGAATGGAAAATATTTGCAGGAAAAAAACACAATAAAAAATAAGAATACAGGCCAGGCGCGGTGGCTCAAGCCTGTAATCCCAGCACTTTGGGAGGCCGAGGCGGGTGGGTCACAAGGTCAAGGGATCAAGACCATCCTGGTCAACAAGGTGAAACCCCGTCTCTACTAAAACTACAAAAAA